TTTTATTTCTTTTTATTTGCTTCGAAGTTATATTATTATTATTATCATTATTAATTTAGCCAGAAAATAAATTCTAACACTAATAGTCTTAAACTCTTCGAAATTACTAATTAATGGCTTCATTTTTTAGTTCGCTTTAAATCACTCTTCATTTGGCAAAGACACAAAGTTGTAATTTTAAGCAAATACACAAACCTCAAAAAAAAAAAAATTAATATGAATCACTTTGGTGTTATATTTTCATAACGGTGTATTTATATTTATGACATACGTTTGGAAACTAGTGAAGGCGTGTTAATATGGGCGTTAATCTTCACAACATCCCTCATCGCTCGTGTAACTTGTAAACATAGGATCATTACTGATCAATTCGTATGGCTTCTAGAGTGTGCCAGCATTCAATCGACATGTGTCATAGTTTCATGAAATTTTGAACACACACACACACACAATAGAAATTTTCGACACATTCAAGCATTTCAATGTTAATACCATCTAAAAATTATAGGAATTGGTCAATGGTGGCGACATCTATTTGCGCCGCCATACGAACTTATTAGTTATGGCTGCTTATTACAGTTTCTTCGTTTGGGGTTCTATCGATTGGCCATTGGCATTCCATATATTATTCTGCTGGCATAACTTTTGATATCTCCACGATATTCGATGTATGTTGTATGAGTTGATTTCTATTGATCAAATCTAAAAATAAAATGGCTGAAAAGCGGAAACAACTTCAAAAACAAAAAAAAAAAGAACTTATTTTAATATATTCGTAAGTAATTTAGAAACTAAAGCAGATACCGATTTTAAGGTACGCGTAATGTGTAAAGATGTTGTTGTTTAAAAGTGTTTCTAATAAACTCTTCTCTAATGGCTTATGTAGGTTAGTGAAGAAAAAAAAAAACAACAAAAATTTTCACAGGTTTGTCCCATTCACTGTTAGATTTTTTGTTTTCCTTTCAATCGTTACGCAAGAATGCTAACAATAAAAGAAGATCAATAAAGGGAAAGCTCGGTGTAGTGCATTTAGAGTTGAGTCCGAAAACGTAATACAAAGCATTTAGCAGATGGTAATTAAGACACTCACATTCACTCAGCGGGAAACTTAAGTGTCCGTCGTTTCAAGCAAGTGTATGCAATCTAGTGTTAGTTACGGACGTGCAGTAAAACTGAAGTTTCTCCCGTGGATGAAAATAGTAAGGGCGCCAGATTTTCGATCTCTCTATTCGCAATCCATATCTGATGTATACATATATTAGCAGTTATCGATAAGTGCATTTAGAAATTTTTGTTTTTGTTTTAGTTTTTAAATATTTGAAATATTTCCAATACACTACGCTTAACTATGATCCAAAAGCAGAAGACATACTTTTCCAAAGGTGTCAAAAGCATATTTATATTTGTTATAAGTCAACTGATGGAATCGTTCTTCGCATGATTATGCTTCTAAAGGGAATGTCGTGCAAATCGCATAAAATCTCATGAGCCTGTTAAGATATGTTCTTTTTTTCTTTTTTTTTTTTTAAACCCTTACGTCTTACGAATTTTTTTTTGTATATGTATTTATATATATATATATATATATATATTTGTGATAACCTAGCCGATAATATATTGATAATCTTCGTAATTCGATGTGAAGATTTTATTTAAGTAAGAGGGTCTCTCAGTGTGAGGGATTTGGTGTGAAAGCTTTTAGGAGTGAAGATTTTGATGAGTTTTTGAAAAGTTTGATGCGGCAATTTTAGTGGTGTGAAAGATTTTGAATTGATGGTTTGTTGGTATGAAGTTTTGAGGAATTTACTATTACGAACCAATTTCCATCATGAAATATTGAAACTTTTAAACATATAAACATACAGTTTTCGTAGGAAAGGTTATACGGGAGGGGATTCAAAAAATTTGCCCAAACAAAACAAATTTTTCACAGCAATCTAAAACGCCGAAATAATATTGTTAAGTGATTTTTGTTGAGAAATTTCGAAAATTATAATTGAAGTGGTCACAAAAGTGGACCAACGCGAACCATTTCAAAAAGCGTTTGACCTAAAGTCAAAGCGCATCATTTTACCAAATTTCATCAAAATATTTCAAAAATTGCGATGTGTAGGTTGAACAGTTGACATGACACGACAATCGGTATCGTAAAACGTGAAACTTTCTTAAGCCCATCTGCATCTTACATACGTCAGCTCGTTCATAAACTCTGTATCACAAGTGGTGTGGGGTATAAATAGGAATAAAGAATATTTTGATTATCGTCTTGCGCTTGGAAGCATTAAGAAGTTTCCTTTCTTTGCATATTTCGATACGATTTAATGCTTATCGGATATATTCGGTTTATCTTTTATAGAAAACAAGATTTTTTTTTAAATCCAAACTCGATCGGGTGTATGGAAAATAAAATTCTGAAATTTGACGACTGACCACATAACTAATACATAAGATGTTGTGCGCTGGCAGACTAAAATTGTACCATACAGATTATATCTGTATATATATACATATATATATATATATGTATATATATATATATATTTACATTCCATATAAAATTATATAAACGTGTATATTCCGTATCTACTTTTGAAATAATTCGGTAATATCCGTAAGAGCTCCTCGAATTCGACAAGCGCAAGACTGACCTGATCTCCGCACATCTATTTGAATTCTGAAAATCGAAATAGAAGAGAATTTCAAAATGTTGCTGCTAATAATTTTAAACAAGTAGCAGATGTCCACATGTAAATGTATATGTATACACCTATGTATATATATATACTATCTAAAACTTATATATGTATATGTACTATCTAAAATATCAGTGAAAAAGTTGTCAGCGAACTAACGCGCCTCCAATAATAAGTACACGTTGCACTTTTCACATACTCGATAAAAATGTTCGGTAAAGAAGAGCCGCGTTAAGGCGAACATAAATTCCTTACGTGTTTCTAATATTAGTTTCTTTTCATTTTCTTTAATTTCAAAATTATTCTCACAGTGAAATTTGAGATATTAACTTAGAAGTTAGCGCAATAACAATTGTGAAAATCGCGAAAATTGATCTAACATAAACATGTTCTGCTCCAAATAAACCTCAGTGCGCCGCAATATATTTTCAAAGCATTTCCTTATGGTGTGAGACAAGGTATGTTATGAACTTTTATGGTTTTGTACAAACAAAACAAAAAAAAAAAAAAAAAAACAAAACAAACGGAAAAAAAAAGAATAAAAACAAAATGAATTCCTTTTATTTAATTTGTCTCTAAAGATATCACATACTCTTAACATCCATTCAATTTCGAAGAGTAAGAGAGATCGAAAATTTGCTTGAGTTTCTCTCAAGAGATATGTTAAGAGAATTATTTGTTTTATGATTAGTATGCACTCAAACCCTTCGCTCTTGCTAACAACTAGTTTAGCGAGAGATAACTTAAAAGAATTTCTTTTTTCTCTTGATCCATGGAAGGAGAAAAAGTCTTTTTAAAAAAAAATGCTGTAAAAAGCAACTTTTAAATCCTATCAAATATAAATAAAAGATAAAAAGAAACGCAATGGAACGCATACCAATTTAAAATTCATATACAAATTATTGCTGACGGTAAATATGCAGATATATAAACATGCAAGCATGCAAACATATTGTCTGTTGATATCTGAAACTTTTATATAAGCAACTTTTTACTCTTTGCAAATACCGAAAGGATTAAACTTAAATTGGATTAATAAAGTGGATTAATCATATATATACATAGGAAAAGAGGAAGGCTTCGAAATTCAATTTGAAAATAATTCATGATTTTATTGCTAATAGCACTTTTACTAATTTACTGGTTTGTTCTCATGCATCATACACTCCTAAGTATAGATAATAGTAGAAATTGAAAATGAAATAATGCTCTTAAAAAATTCACACTGTGACAAAAGTTTCTGAGACAAGAATTTACTCTATTTGACATAAACATTTCATTTTCCTCTCAGCTACGCATACCGTAAACCAACATATAATAAAACGGCAGCAATCGAAGAAAACTGGCCAAACCGGTATAACTTGTGTCAATGGCTTGATGCACTAAGAGTTTAATTTTTCTTCTTATTTTTTTCTTTTTCATATATTTTGCATTTTAGTTATGCTGCCTGTTGAAGTTTACCATCAAAGACTGTTGATGTAGTAACGTAAACATAACGTTTCTTTAGACTGCATGAATACAAAATCAAAAAAGCATGTATGCGTGTTTACCAAAACCCACACAAGGTACCCAGAAACCCATACAAGTTCACTGAGTGCCTATTGAAGCAGCAAACACTCTCTCCCCGAACATACATAACAAGCAATTGAAATTATCAGAATGGCTCCCAAATTATTTGACTTCTCCTTGCCACTCTCACTCAAATCAGGCATTAGGGTAGTAAAACAATCAGCTCTTCTCTTTCGTTCACTCATCTAATTTTTCGTTTCTTTCGTCTGGCTAGCATGATCTTCTCGTGGAAATGTACGACAACCAGCGATAGGTGCTCAATTTAATTGATGTTCACACAATTGCTAGGTTGTCGCTTGTGCAAGTTTTGAGCACTCAGTTGATGAGAAGATATCGAGTAGATCGCACGTACTTTGGATTAGTAACGGATAAAATTAAATAAAAATTTTTTTTTTTTTAAACCACAAAAAAAAATTTTTTTATCCAACTAAAAAGATCTACTTTTATTTTTATTAACAAATATATTCAATAAGCGTTACGTTCGCTATATAGACCCATTGGATTACGGTTGCGCGTCTCGTTTGATTACAATGCTGTAACATTGCTTGGTGTTTGAAATTAAGTCAAATTGCAAAAAATTGTTAAAAAAGAAGAAAATTAACGAATAAATATATAAATCCTTAAAAAGAGGAAACGAAAAAAAAAAAAAAAAAAAAAAAATAAACCCAGAAAACCAAAATGTGTTTTTTTAAAATTAAAAAAAAAAAAAAAAAAAAAAAAAAGAGGAAATATATGTGCAAAAATTCCTTAATCCATGTGTGTTATTATCATTTTCATAGTATTTCAATTTTTATGATCATAATTATTATTAGCGTGCATATCATTTGAAAACCGAGAGTTGTGCAAAAATTGTATCAATCAAAATGAAAAAAATGATTTTCCTAATGAAAATCGTCCTATCAGTGCTAATCTTGTTTATTATACCGGTATTCGGTGGTGCTTTGAGTAAAACTGTCTTGTATCAAGCACCAGATGAATGTCGCTGGTCCGGTTCGAACGAAAATGACATAACGCTTGTCTGTCATTTGCGTACAATAAACTCGGAACTTGAGAACACGAACTTTAGTGTCATTCAACCACAAAATACTATACGATTGCGGTTAGAGTGCAATGATGCTCTGTTCTTTCAAAGCAGCCTAAGTCCAGACAGTTTTCGATCATTGGTGGAGTTGCGTGCACTAACCATAGAGTACTGTAAGTTAGGAAACTTAACTGATGGTTCGTTTCGTGGCCTTCAAGACTTACGTAATTTAACGATACGCACCCACAATGGCGATTGGTCGACTATGTCTCTGGATATTTCGCCCACCAGCTTTAATGAGTTCCGGCAGCTAGATCGTTTAGATCTTAGTCTCAATAATATCTGGCTTATACCTGACGGTATGATATGCCCGTTAAAAGTTCTCAAGCATTTAAATATATCGAACAATGAAATACAAGATATTGGAAATTTTCACTTTAGTGCCTCGCTAAGCACACGTAAATCACGTATATGCGGTTCTTCGTTAACAAGCATCGATCTTAGTCATAATAAAATTGCCAATCTTCCTTCGGCGATTTTTTCAGGTTTGAGTCGTTTGGCAAACTTGAATTTAGCTCGCAATGGTATGAATTTCATCGCTGATCGAGCCTTCGAAGGGTTAGTTTCTCTGCAAGTGGTAGATTTATCAGAAAATCGTCTCACTTCTTTACCACCCGAACTGTTTTCTGAAGCCAAGTTTGTTAAAAATGTGTATTTAAAAAACAATAGCATCAATGTATTGGCTCCTGGACTGTTTAGTGAATTAGCTGATTTACTCGTCTTAGATTTATCAGCAAATGAACTTAATTCTCAGTGGGTTAATTCAGCTACGTTTGTCGGCCTCAAACGATTAATGTCACTCGATTTGTCGTCCAATAAAATTAGCAAACTGGAAGCAAATATTTTTCGTGCTTTGATTAGCCTGCAAATACTAAAACTAGAAGAAAACTACATTGATCATATCCCTGATGGCGTTTTCAATGATTTAACTAACCTGCATACGCTCATCCTTTCTAATAACCGAATATCCACTGTTGGCCAGAGTACTTTTCGTGGTTTATATGGCATCTTGGTATTGAGCTTAGACTATAATCGCATTGCAAAAATAGACACGCAAGCATTTAAGAATTGCTCTAGCATACAGGACCTACATCTCAACGGCAATAAACTGCAAAGTGTACCCGATGCACTTTCCTACGTGCCATTGTTGAAAACTCTCGATATGGGTGAAAATTTAATCGTGACCATTGAAAACACATCCATAACAGTAATGGAAAACCTGTACGGCTTGCGTCTCACTGAAAACGCCATCGACTACATAAGACGTGGTGTGTTTGATCGCATGACTTCATTGCAGATACTAAATTTGTCTGGCAACAAAATTAAAGGCATTGAGGCTGGCGCTCTGCATCGCAACACGCAGCTGCAGGCCATACGTTTGGATAGCAATCATTTGAAAAATATAGCGGGACTTTTTACAGACTTGCCAAATTTAGTTTGGCTTAACATATCAGACAACCGACTAGAGAAGTTTGATTATTCACACATTCCCACTGGTTTGCAATGGTTGGATGTGCGCGCCAATCGCATTACTCAGTTGGGCAATTACTTTGAAATTGAAAATGAACTGAGCTTGACCACTTTCGATGCTAGCTCTAATTTGCTTAGCGAAATAACAGCAGGCTCTATACCAAACAGCATTGAAGTTTTATATTTGAACGATAACCTCATTAGTAAAATACAGCCATATACGTTCTTCAAAAAGCCGAATCTCACCAGAGTCGATCTCATACGTAATAAACTTACAACGCTAGAGCCAAATGCGTTGCGTCTTTCCCCCATACCCGATGACCGTGACATTCCAGAGTTTTACATAGGACACAATCCCTTTCAGTGCGATTGCAATCTCGATTGGTTACAAAAGGTGAACGTTGAATCGCGCACGCAACCAAAGCTTATGGATTTGGATCAAATTTACTGCAAGTTAGCCTACGCACGGGGTAAAACGCATGTGCCACTCATCGAAGCCAAATCGAATGAGTTCTTGTGTAAGTATGAGACGCATTGCTTTGCTCTGTGCCACTGCTGTGACTTTTATGCCTGCGATTGCAAAATGGAATGCCCCGAACGTTGTGCTTGCTACCACGACCAGTCGTGGACATCTAATGTTGTTGACTGTTCGCGCTCTGCCTATGATCGCGAATTGCCATCCCACATACCGATGGATTCCACACAACTGTACTTGGACGGTAACAACTTCAAAGAATTGTCTAGTCATGCCTTTATTGGTCGCAAACGCTTGAAGGTTTTGCATTTAAACCATTCTCGTATTGAAATGATTCATAACCGTACATTTTACGGTCTACTGGAGTTAGAAGTATTACAACTAAATCACAACGATTTACGTAACTTGAATGGTAACGAATTCCAAGGCCTCGATAACTTGCAAGAACTTTACATACAACACAATTCTATTTCGACGATCGACTCACTAACATTCACGCATTTGTACCACTTAAAAATATTACGCTTAGACCACAATCTAATTATTGAGTTTGCAATATGGAACTTTCTACCACCTTATCTAAATGAATTGCGTTTGTCGGGCAATCCTTGGTCATGCAATTGTGCTTTTGTCGACAAATTCCGTGACTACATGAGTCGCTATGAATCAGTGCAAGACAAACAAAAGCTACGTTGCTCAGCTCTCGCTGGCAGCAATGGCACTGTGGGCATTAACATCACATCTCTCACGCAACAACCCATTGAACAGTTTACTCTGTATCTTAGTCCGGAAATACTTAAAGAGGGCAACACGCGTTATTTGGCATGCAGTGGTTTATTACAACAACATTTACTAGGTGCTAATGGCGCTAACGGTCTCCTCAATGGCGACATCAACGATAACATCATAATCAACGGCAACATGACTTCAACTAAAATGATTCTCTCGCAACCACCGATGCATGACTATGTGCCAATCTTAGTTGCCATATTAACCGGATTTGTGTTTGTGATTATCTGTACGCTACTAGTGTTCATATTTCGTCAAGAGATGCGCGTGTGGTGTCATTCTCGTTTTGGTATACGTCTCTTTTATAATGGAAACAAAGACATGGACAAGAATGAACGTGAAAAACTTTTTGATGCATTCATCTCGTACAGTACGAAAGATGAAGCATTTGTTACGGAAGAGTTAGCTCCTTTACTCGAACAAGGCGAAACTCGTTACAAATTGTGTTTGCAAAGTCGAGACTTTCCAGTCGGCGGCTATATGGCTGATGCTATTGTACAGGCTATCGACACATCAAGACGCACAATAATGCTGCTCTCAGAAAATTTCATTAAATCGGAATGGTGTCGTTTTGAATTCAAATCAGCGCATCAGTCAGTATTAAGGGATCGAAGAAAACGTTTAATTGTAATAGTGTTGGGTGAGGTGCCACAGAAAGATCTTGATCCCGATTTAAGATTGTACCTTAAGACCAATGCATATTTGCAATGGGGTGATAAGCTATTTTGGGAGAAGTTACGATTCGCTCTGCCGGACGTACCCAACAATCAACGCCGGCTTCATGCGGTTGGTCAACACTGTACAGGCGCTGTTCATATGCCAATAGCACCACACCATCATCACCTGCAAACGCATCATTTACATCATATGCATCCACAAGCTCAGTTACAACAACATCACCTGCAACATGCGAGTTTTCGCTCGCAAATGCATCATAATATTAATGCCAGCCGTCAGAATCACAATCGAAACGCCAGCAATCCGGCACAGCAATCAACCATGCTAATGAATCCTCCTTGTCCAAGTGGGCCGCCACTGCAATCAATGCCTTTACCTAATAGCCAGAGCAGCATACAACACCAAAGCTTGCCGCTCCCACCATGTCCAAGCCCAAGAAGTGCCAACACACAGTCATCGGCAGGAGGTTCATCGACGAATTCTTCACGCACAGTAGCTGTGCATATTTAGGTATTTAGTATAGATTAGAGTATATGACCTCCAATGGAACACCAATGAATGCGCCAAATAATGCCTCACAATATGTATGTACTGAAAGAAATGGAAGAAAGAAATCAAAATTTTGTTGTTACTTTTATTGCTCTTCCCTTTACGGTTCATATTGTTTTGCTTACAGTCAATCATTTTAAATGACCATTCAACTGCTTCAAATGGTAGGCAGAAAAACAGACAGCTATCAATTTTGGCATTTTTTATGATATCGCAGCGTAGGACAACTATACACGAAAAACGAAACGAATAGTTCGAAACGGAAAACTCATTACAATAACAGCCCGATAAACGCGATATCCAACAACTGCAGCCAACAAATGATGATAAAATGACTGGTTGTCAAGCAGACATAAGGGGTTTGGTCTCGGGTGAATGAAAAAGGGGAAAGACGATCAGGTGGACTGACAGACTGACGGACGGACATGAAGACATTCTGACACCCAGTACAAAACAGAACAAACAAGGTAGCCGGAGCAGCCAAATAATGAACGAGACAAAAGCCGTGGTCATAAAGAACCTTTTGGCACAATAGCAATGCCAACAAGCGTAGCAAACGAGCCAAGATGCAAATGAGCTTGGGTACCTTAGTTTGTTTTCTCCGTCTTTTTTTTTTATTTATTTATTTTTTTTTCTCTTGTTTGCTTTTTTCACAATTTTTGCTTTTTGCGACCGCGCTCTTGATGTGCATTTTGCATTTTGGTGTACGATAAATGACTTGACTTTTGTGAAACTCCGTGTGGTGGGGAGAATCATGGAGCTCAAAGCGTACGCATTTGTTGCTTCCTTCGTGTGCCGTGTCCGTGTATTTACGTTTACCTTAAAATATAAAACAAGAAATTGATGTTGCATGCAACGCTAAAGGAAAATGTTACCAACTGAGAATGAGCAAGCAAAACAAAACAAAACCGGCAATAGAATACAACAACAAAAATGGTAAAAACATAAAAGGGACGAATGAGGAAAAGAGAGAAAAGCATGCAGACATTTCATGCCAAACAGCATAAAATATAATGACAAGACAGACGAACAGGGACGGGCAGACAGATAAACGGGCAAGTATTCAAACAGTCAAGAGTGACTATAAGAAAAAAAAAATTAAAAAAAATAAAAAAATTGAATTGAAAACGTTCTTGTACATCACGGTGCGGACAAGACACACACTCATTGCTGATGATACTTGTTACAAACATGACGTCTTGGCGGCCGCAACCCCAGCCATATTGAAAACAGCGAAATGAGGACAACTGAATATTTCGATTTTTGTGACTTTGCTTTTCTTTTTCGCTTTTATTCCTTTATTTTTAAGTTTTCATTTCGTAGCCGAAAATAAATACAGACATGAAAAGCAACAACAAAGCAATAACAGCAACCATGCAACATGCAAACAATACGGCACACACTTTGCATTGTTGAAAAATTCTAACAAAGCGCCATCACCTCAAATACTAAATATCTGCTTACAAAATGCCAAATAAGCAACAGAAATATTCTTACTGAGCAAATTGCTACATTTGTTGTTGTACTGGCCTTGCTGACTGACAGACTGGCGAGCCGACTAAATGGCAAAATTACATTGAAAAACAAATCAAACTCAACGAGAAAGTCGGTAAAAATGCTTTCTAAATGTTCACCTCTTCTTCTCTCTAAACTTTATGCTAACATTTCTCCCGACAACGTAAGTAATTTGGCAAAGGTGTTTCTGTTTGGGGTCACAGACTAAAAAAGGAGAAAAAAAAAAAAAAAAAAAAAGAAAGATTAAATAACATAAAACATTCCAAGACACAACGGCAACAGACTTTTTTTTAGACGTGTCCGCCTTTCGGGCCTAATTACAATATGCAAATGCTTTTTTTCTGCTTCCATGTATTTGGTTGGAAATGCAGGAAAAAAGGTAAAAATTGTGATATAAACATAAATATAAGTTAATATTTAATGTATATGTTTAAGAGGCGAAGCTAGTGGAAGCCGCTACAAAAAAAAAAAAAAAAAAAAAAAAAAAAAAAAGAGAAAAAAAACAAAACAAAGAAAAAAGAAATTAACTACTTATAGAAAATCCACTAGATGATGATCAACAGCAGGTATAATACAAATACACTTTACATACATATACTTACATGAGCAGCATGTAAGCGACAAGTCAATGGAATAAAAAACTGTTGTGTAAATACTCTTACGTTAAGGCTGTAAACCATATTTATATTCGATTAAACTTGAATTAGCATAAGATTTAATGTGTGTAAGTACTTAAACCACCTTTTCGTTTAGAATTATTTTACGTAAAAGGAAAAAAGAAACAGAAGATTAGATAACAGATAAAAGCCATACATTAAAACGAAGCCTACTAAATTAAGAAACTGAAAACTGCATTAAAAAAAAAAAAATAAAAAAAAAATAAAAATAAATAAAAGCAAAGAAAAAGCAAGAGAAGAAATATTAAAATAAATAAAAAAAAAAATATACAATTCAAGGTTTAAAACTATTTATTATCAAATTTCTCTTCTTTTTTTTTTGTTTTTGTTTTCCATTTGTGTGTTTGGAGAGTGACTGATTACATATTTAAGGCATTTTCATTGTAAAAAAAAAAAACATAAAAAAAAACAAAAATTTCAAGAAAAAATAAACCTTTGTAAATAATTAATTTATTTTCATATTTGTTCCGTTTGTTTTCTTTAAAAATTTTAAATAATTCTTTTTTTAAATATTAATTTAAATAAATTTCTAACAAATTTTAGTCCTTGCAAATAAACCGAAAAATTACAAAAGACAAAATACCATTGTATAAGCAAATTTTGTAAAATGAAAAAAAGAAAAAAAAGAAAAACATATAAACTCTTAAAACGAGTCTTAACATATCCACGACCTAAAGGCGATAGATAAAACAATTTTAAAGTGTTTTGTTAATTATTATTATTTTTAATCATCATTTAAGTTCACAGGTCTTAAAAGCCTAAACTTGCGATTGATCGGCAGTAATCTTATTGTTATTGATAGAAATACTCTGCACCATACCTTTCTAAAAAAGGTTTTTTTTTTTCTATATATATATATTTTTTTTTTTTTTTTTCTTTTTTTTTCTAAAACCTTACATAACTTGAAATTTAATTCAGGATATTTACTGCTCTGCCGTTCTTCGTTTCTTTTGCGCCGGCCAGGTAAACTTGTTGTACTCGTTATACAATTACTGAGCACACACTTGCATAACTATCAGCTGCAGTTTTTACAATCATTTCGATGAGGGTTAATTAAAAGGAGAAGCAAAATGTATATAGTATAGAGCGAAAACAACGATTATTCTGTTTGCAGTTATCAGGACAACTTCAATGTCCAAAATCGTTAGACTATGAGTATAAAATTATTGCGTGTTTAAATCTACCTAACTAAATATCTTTTATTTTTTTTTTTCCCCCCCAAAGGCGAACGCGTTACAAAAATAAAAGAAAAAACTTCACAACGCATTTACTAACCTAACGACTTGCTTGATGATAGCCAGCAAACATTAAATGAGAGGCAAAAAAATAAAAAAAATAAAATAAAATAAAATAAAATGAAGAAAATACAAAAAACATTACATTACATGACTAATATAACCGTCAATAACAGTAAATCATTCGGCTTCAACAATAAATTGATGTCAAATAATTAAAAAATCAAACATAAAATCGCAAGCATTCAAAAGCCCTCAATGAAAAAAAAAAAAAAAAAAAACGCAAATCAGAAATGAATATAAATAAATGATAGGGAAGTTGTTCGGCTCTACAGATGTAAATAAAAAAAGTGTTTTTTTTCTTCTTCTTTTCTTCTTCTTTTTTTCCTTTTTCATCTTAACAAAGATAGATAGACGTGCGAAAGAAAAGTTATTGCAAAGTCCATAAGCTCAATTCGCATAATCATTCGCATCATCTATCTAATAGTAGAATAACTGCACTGCACAAGGTTACATATATCCGAAGTTAGACGGAGCTATGAAGACCAACCGACCAAGAAGTAATACAAATGCGATCTAAGTATTAAATCAAACTCGCTAATAAACATTAATTAAAGAAAAATTGTACAAAATTATTGCTGTGCAAAGGTAACTGAAAGTTTAAAATCACGTTTTCACAGTATAATTGTACTATGCCTTATAGAAAATCATATTTAAATTTTGTGTGTGTGAAGAAGTAACAAGTGTTTTTCTCTAGCACTTTTTCGCCTACATAATGCACATACATACAATGTTTACGCTTACACTGGATTCAGATTCACGATTTTGTGTAAAAGTTTCCATTAAACTTTTTCGCAATAGTCGAACTAGATAGACTTATTACATGAATATCATTTTTTTCACAGAATCACAATAGGATTGAAAGTGGAAGTCATGATCTTGTCACAATGCCTAAAGAGCCAAAATCACTCAGCCTATCTTGATAATTTTATTACATATTTCATCGGTGGTGTAGGGCATAGAGATTTTGTGCGAATATATGCAATAACATGATGGACTTAAGATAGATAGATTTTATTATTACACCGATCCGCATTTAAGCTTATTAGTCCATCACTGTCTCTATGTTTTTTTGTGCCTAATATACGGCCTGAAAAATTTAATATATTTTGACACTCCCCTCGGGCGAATATGTAGATAGAGCCTGCTAAGCCTGAAATACCGAGAATAAATACTGATCGGAAACTCAATGCAAATATGTTGCTCGTCTCGATCGACTCGTCGGATTGTCTTAAGATTTGCGTTTATTTCAACTTTCGTTTTGTAATAACGACTCAGCTGTAAACTCGGGATTATGCTGGCTGGTGAATTCTAGCTACAGCCAAGCTAAGAGAATCATTAATGTTTGCAAACTTTATTACAATTGAGGAAAACGCGAAATTAGATCTTACGCAAGAAAGGCAAGCAACATATACATACATGCATTTCTATGAAGTCTGCAAACATAATATATCTGTGAGAAAGTAAAAAGGGTTTTTTTTATTACGTCACAATTTCACAGAACTAACGCAGTCTTTTGAGTGTAGTACATTATAGCATTCATCTCCTCCATCTACTCTATCGTAGTGAAATCCTGATTACCTTATAGAGAATTCATAGCATAATGTAATTGTATATATAGTGTTAAACAAAGGATTCCGTTCAAAACTTTTTATCATAATGCAATGAGAGGATAAGACATTAGCTTATTGCTATTTATTACAGAGATATCATATCTCAGAAATCCAATTCTTCCTCTTAATGCCATATACATTGCAAAATGTTCAAAGTAAATTTCTTGTCAAGATTTGCCTTAAAACATTTTTTTCATCTTAACACTTTTGTTTATCAAAAATGAGATCAAAATCATTTTCTTCCTTCTCATTTTTATCGAAATGTAGTCACAATGACAGATGCAATGCAAAAGATAAGAAAATGAAATTTTTACCCTCAACATCGTTTATAATAAAATAATAAAATTTGAATTGGTGTCATAGAGCAGTTACAGCTGTACCCTGTATCTTGTAATGTTGTTTAACGTAGAGCTATTAGATCCAAATCTTTCGCTTCAAATACTTTTCCACAAAAGACACATTAGCCACAGAAAAATTCTCTTTCTTCATGAAATATGAAGAATTCGTTTTATTCTTTTTTATAGTCACCACAGATCGCACAGGAGCGTAGATTCACTTTGACAAAACATTTGCAGCACCCGGAAGGGAACTTCAGACATCCCCGAAATTATCTATATTCTTGAGCAGCATCAAATTCTGAACTGAGCTAAGAATGTCCGTTTGGCCATCTGGCCGCCTGATTGGGTGTAAAGTCTGTGATTCTCCTCGTCGCAAAAACTCAGACATCGACTTTAAATTTTGTAAAAATAATAGAAGTTCCTGCGCGCAGTTTTGCATGGCAAATGGACTAAATCCGTTAAGCGATAAAATTAAAACTCGTCGACTTTCGAAAAGAAAGTCGATTACGCATAACTCATTGCAATAATAAATATATGCTTATTCTACTTTAAAATAAGAATCAACTAGAGCCGAATATGATTTTCTTACCTGTTTATTTTTTTCTTTTTTTTTTTTTTTTGATTTTGAAAACACACTATGGATGGAAAAGAATGAAGTTT